AGAGAAAAAGGGATACAAAGAAAGTTTTTTGGAAAAAAGAAAAAGGGTGATAAAAAGTGAGCAAGAGACAAAGAGAGAGAGAGATGGAAAGAGGAAAAAGTGAGGAGAAAAAGTGAGTAACAGAGGGAGAGAAAGAAACAATAAAGATGTTTGATAAGAGGAAAAAAGAAAAAAGAAGGAGGAAAGAGTGAGTAAGAGAGAGAAGGAAAGAGAAAAAAATGAGAAAAAGAAGTGAATAACAGAGGGAGAGAAAGAGAGAGCAACAGAGGGAGAGAAAGAGAGAGCAAAAGAGAGAGAGAGAAACAGAAAAAGAGGAAAAGAAAAAAGAGGGAGAAAAAAGTGAGCAAGCGAGAAAGAGAGATGGAAAGAGGAAAAAATGAGAAAGTAAAAGAGGGAGAGAGAGAGAGAGAGAGAGAGAGAAACAGAGAGGTTTGATGAGAGGAAAAAAGAAAAATGAGGGAGGAAAAAGTGAGTAAGAGAGAAAGAGATGGAAAGAGGGAAAAATGAGGAGAAAAAGCGAGTAAGGGAAAGAAATAAAGTGAGAGAGAGAGAGAGAGAGAGAGAGAGAGAGCCTGCCAAAATAAGCATTTTTGTTTTGCATCCAAGCAGCTTGCAATTAGTGTTATTGTGCTTGCTGCTCTACCTGTGTTTGATGTCTGCATTTTAACAGGCGGAGCTTTGTGCTCTTAAAGAGCTTCAGAAGCTAAAAGACAAGGACGCACTTCTGTTTTTCTAACTTAATTACAGCAGTCTGTACACCCGGTACACCCGAGCCAATTAATCCACAGGGAATACGTGTAATCTGGACTACAGAGTAAGTGGACGTGGGCTACTCACATGGCTTCTTGAGGCCCATTAAAAATTGGCTATTACTAAGCTATGCAGCGAGCTTGACTCACTCATGTCTGCTCCCAACAAAGTCCATTAAAATAGTTTTGTGTGACAGGGGCTGAGGCTTTGTTCTTCAACCTCAGTAACTCCACATAAAGCGGAGATGCAGATCAGAGATATTTGTGAGGCTCAAAAAGCTCAGATGGTGGCAAACTCCTAAATAACGAGGAAATTACAAACAGCCGACGCTTCGCTGTTTGGGTGAGAAGCGGCATTTATAATTAGGTCCCCTTTATAACTGCCGACAAATTATTTTCAGCTAGCACTCCACACGGATTGTCGGAAGGAGGGCCGTACAAGGATTTCAAAAAGTTCCGTGCTGGCCTTTAATTATTAACGACCTTGGCAAGTTCCCTCTGTAATTAGCTAACTTTTTTGCATGTGTGAGGGCTCGACTGGATCAGAAAAAACTCAATATCAAATCAAAGTATCGCAGTCATGCTGCAAAGTCTTCACTATCAAATAAAATTGTAAGGACAACTACAATTAGTAGGGCTGAGTTTGGCTACTCGAAAATATATTTAACATCATACAAGTTATATGAGTTTGTTTACATCTGCAGGAGGTACAGTACACCATATCTAAAATATGGTATGTGTGCGCTGCTGCGAGTCGCCCTGAAATAATCATTTAAAAGTCGGGTGTTGAGTTGGATTTTGTGGGACTTTTCTGGACCACGTCAAACGTCTTTACGTATTTGCGCCACATGCATGGGCTCAAAAAGGAGGTCCAGCTCGGTGTTTATGTCTCAAATGCTAAATCAACATTATACTGATGAAGATATGATGACAATAACAGGTCATTCACTCACATCCTCAGAAAACACGTCCTTCACCAAGGTTTGACTGAGTTCTCTTTGAATACTCTCAACACACTCAAAATCATCAGATTCATCCACTCGGGGAAGGGGACCGAAGCACAAGTAAGGTTACAAATGTTCTATCACATGTTGCGTGCAATTACACATTTTCACCAGAGAGGACTCCAAATCCCCAAAACTGACACAGTGTAGCTTTATAGTTTGGAATAAAGAAATAATGTCCAAAAATGTGTATCAAAGAATAACTAAATTTTCAGTATTAATCACGGTATACTGTATTGCCATATGGAAGAAAAATATATAGTCTTGTGCACAAGTTTTAAGCCCTTAAGAAAATTTTATTTGAAATGTATTTATCTCAGAAAATAACACTAATATTAGAATACATACAAATAATGTTACTATAATAAGTAACAGCTTTATATTAATGTACCATCCAATATCTGGTTTGGCTAATCAACCTTCCTGAAGTTAATTAGATGTGCTGCCCATGGAATTTAATAATTCCATATGATAGCTGATGGCGTCCATGAGATACTGGGAACCAAACTTTGTTCTTCAAATTAGCTCACAAGAAATCAACTAATTTTTTGAAAAACATAAAAAAAATCTTGTTACTTTTTACTGTATTTATGTTTATTCGCATCTATTCCAAAAAGGTCTTTAGTGGAGTTTGACACCCCTGCCCTAGACAGTAAACTGGTGCAGGACTTCTACATTTCCTTTTCTTACTGATACATTACATTCAGCTAAGTGGGATGTATGTACATTATGTTTGCACACTATGCTTATTTGTGGAATACTAGTATAAAGGCTAAGACACGGATGAATCGGTATTTCACCCAATATTTATGAACATATTTCGAGCTAAAAGATGACGTTTATGCAATTCTGTAGGTCAGCTGGTAGTTGAATCACCTACACCTAAAAAACAAAGAATCACTAAGCCAACTGTCAGGTTCAGATCATCTCTTATGCTGGCAAACAAAGAATGGTGAACCTTTCTTGTTTTTGTTTTTGATTCCTATTAATATAAAACATTTTTCATTGGGACATTCAGTTCTATACCACTTTAAGGGTTCTTCCTAGAACCTTTACATTAAGTGTCAGTTCTTTATAGGGATGCAGTGATATAGGAATTGCAGGCTGATGCAAACATCTATAAAGTTCCATATCTGTCAATGTCAATACATAAACATTAATGGAATTTTGAAACTGAGAGCAAATAATAAAAAAAAGGTTTTTAGGTAAGCATGAGTGATGGCCACTTGCTATGGCACTGCTCACAGAACTCTTTCTGGCATCTTTATTTTAAACTGAATATGTGTGGTGTTCTCAATTCAGCCAGTCACTGAATTCTTTTGAATGGAATTCGGTGGCACAGATGCCCAATATACAACATGACAATTCCATCAAATTCAGTCTATTGGATCATCTAATCGGATTTAGCTTCCAATCATGGAGCCGTTGGGACGACGGAGCTGTGCAATAAGCTAATCGTGCTGACCTTGGATTCCCTGCAGATATTGAAGCAAATGAACAGACTCGATCTTTTCCATCTCAATACAGCCCTAATAGTCTAATACTTAGTTTGCCACGTGTGCAAGCTTAGAGGATCTGACCCAGGCAAAAATAAAAGAAGTTTCAGATATGACGGGGACCAGGTGAGTTAGCGAGGATGTAAAGATAGTAACATTGGCTCAGACGGGTCATATGTTTATTCACTGAGTCATCTTCTACCCACGAGCAAAATGTCATGTTGAATAAAGGCAGGACGTACCTTCCAGTGACTCAGACTGCAACTTGAAGGCAGATTTAGAAACATATGGGCTGCATACTGCAGCAAAGAGTTCATTACTGGGCTTTGGAGGTTAAAGTTTAACATCACATTGTCATATCTAGAGGCATCACATTAACCCAGGGTCTGCTGCTGGAGATCTGCTGCCCTTTAGCATTCAGTTACGGTCCTAGTCGAACACATCTGATCTAGCTAATTGGAGTCAAGAGTCAAGTGTGTTAAATATGAGCTCGATTGAGAAATTTTCCCCTCAGAAGTTGAAGCCGTCATCAGCGATAACAAAGCATTTTTAATTTCGTATCAATTTTTTCTCACTCGTGGCTCACTGCAACAGTCTAAAGTGCAGATTCTGCTTTCAACCCATATCAGAAGAGATATTTTATTATGTTTTATTACGTTTTGAAGGAAACTGTATGTATCATCATGTCTTGATGAAAAAGAAGACAGTAGTGTATTTTTATCATGTACAGTACTGCACAAAAGCCAGAGACCAAACTTTATTTATTCATTCTCCAGTCAAAATAGCCATTACAAGTTCAACTACAAGTTCTTCATTCTTTAAAATAAATTACACAGAAGCCTCAACAACTATACATATTATTACACTTTCACTATTTAGTATGTCAATGCTTGCCTTTATTACAGTTTCCATTCTTTTCAGGAGACTTACTTTCACTTTTGCCAAGAAATCTGCAGGGATTGTTTTTCCACACCTCCAAAGTTCAGTCTTAGTAGTTGGTTGCATTTTCTATTTCTTAAGACACACAAAATCCCAAACTCAGTCAATGATGTTGAGGTCTGGACTGAGGTCTTGGGTGGTCAGTCTGTTCTAAGAACAAGCAGCTTCTCTGTTTGACTTGCAGATGTTCTTCTTATTTGTTCTTTTATTTGTCTATTAGCTACACATCCTTTTAGAACCATAGTGTTGAGCTGGCTTGTGGATGTTATCAGATCTGAAGCAACAGTGGAGCTTGATTCTCTCCTCTCTCTCAAAGATGAAAGATTACAGTGTTATTTATCTGATGGGGGCAGTTTTGTGGTCTACCAGGCCCATCATGGCTGAAGTCCTCTTTTTGCTATAACTTTTAATAATTTTTTAAACTCCAGTTTTGAAAACTTCTGTTTTTCATTTATATTCTAAGTGGATTATCTTATATCTAATTTCCTCAGAATATTAAGTTACTTCTACTAAATGGCCATTTTGGAAATGAAATAAATGAAGGGCAGTCTCTGTCTTTTGCACAGTACTGTACTTGTCACTGTTTGGCATCAAAACAAATCAAAAAGGCAAAAAAGTGCAGAATGAAACCTGTTAACGTGCAATGTAACTATGTAATTATGTAATTACACATTAATAATTATGTAACACACATACAGTACAAAACTATTCTAGACTTCTGAATTAAGGGTTAAGCTCAGAGTGGCTGGTGGATATCATGGGGTAAGTTAGGCATCCCTGCAAATCCTCAAACCCCATCTCCAGTACTTTACCTTCAGGATCGTGGAGCCCTGTTCCAGAGCCACCAGCACGGTACGGTCCACTAGTTCAGCCACCCGGGGGTCCAGTACCTTCAGTGAATCCTGGACCAGGTCAGTGACATCTACCTGCCAGTCGGGCCCCAGCATGGTGATAACCTGGTTGGTGCCCTCAGTGGAGGTGGTGTGGAACTGGGTCATGACTTTGACTTGAGCCCGCTGGTACTGCAGCGTGCAGCCCCGGCTCACCTTCCTGTCATCCTCGTCATCGTCGTCACTGTCGCGGGCTGACCTGTGGGCAAGGACAAAAAGTGGATCATTTAAAGGCAGGTAAACACTAGTTATATACAGAGTTTTTGCCACAGTAATATTAAAATTGGAATGCCTTCATGCTCAGGTTGAACTGGTGGCTGTGATACCAGCCTTCTAAAACATGAAACTCGCTGATTGATTCAATGTATAGATTTTAAACAGCCAGTCAGTCAGTCAGTTCATGAGAGCCAAAGACGAGTCAGTGTAATCAAGTCCATGTCAGTCTCTGAGGTGCGAATCTGGGTTTTTAGCAGAGAATTTCAGCTTAGTCTTGTTATCAGCTGCAGGCACTGCATTGTACAAATGTAAATCCCAAATGAAAACCTGCCAGGTTTGACAGAGCTTCAAAAAAGGAGGCTTTCATTACAGGACTTCAGTCTGAAAGAACTGAACTGTTTAAAGAAAAGAGGCAAAACAACTTGAAATATTTGGTTAATCATTAGTTTGTATAGCAACTGTGCTAGCTAGCTGAAGTTTACTAAGTTTTAAAAGAATGCGATCTATAAGTTACAGATCACATTCAGCTAAATTTAGCTTCAGCTAAAGTAGCAATTGTGCTAGCTAGCATGTTCGCAGTCCAAACTACTACATGCATACCAGCCCAAAGTTTCAAGTTGTTTTACACATCCTTTAAACATCATATTTAAAGGCTTGTGATCCTAAATTAATGCTCTCTGCTTGTGTTTTTTTCCCCTCAGGCTTAAATTTCACAAGTAATGGATGATAGCTCTCCTGCTACCCGCTTCAGACCAGTTACCCACGCCCCAGTCACCACCATTCGCCCAGCTACCGCCACTTGCCTTGGACTAGCTGCCCACCCTACATTGAAGTTTTCATGGACTCCTAACTATTACTACTACTACGACTACTAATACTACTATTAATATTAGTAGTATAATAATTGTGTAGGTAGTTTGACCAGAGGAGGATGGGTCCCCCCTTGTGAGCCTTGGTTCCTCCCAAAAATTTCTTCCCCAGCTCTGAGGGAGTTTCTCCTTGCCACTGCCGCCCCTGGCTTGCTCACCTGGAGGATTTACATTTCATGTTAAAACTTTGACTTTAATGGATTTTCTGTGAAGCTGCTTTGTGACAACATCAGTTGTAAAAAGCGCTATACAAATAAATTTGACTTGAGAAGTCTTAAATCTCAAGTCTGAGTTGGGTTGACTCGAGTCTCCATCTCTGCTTCATCTTAAAAGTAGCTAGTAAAGGATCACTTATAAAGTTAGCAGTGTTGTAACTCAAACCATGCTAAGGCTAAGCTGAATAATTGCTGAAAAACTGAAGATACTGAATGTAATTCGTCCAGGAATACAAACTTAGCAAGCTAGAATAGCTCAAATTTTGGTCACTGGCCTTCTTGCCTGGCCAAAATGCCCTCTTAAAAACTGATAACATTAAAAGCCAACTGGCTTGTCTCCTAAATGACAATTTATGGCCTGGTGACAGGATCAAAATCTCTTAATATGAGGGCTAATACACTGGACTTCTAAAATGCCACCAGTGGGACGAAGCACAGTTCACAACAAGTACAAATGAGTGGTGTTAATGTATGACCAAAGCCAAATAGCCTTTTTCTAGCATCGTATCGTATCGCTAGACAATCTTGATCATACACTCAACATAGGGTGTCAAAAAGGTTTCTTTGGAGCGATGCCACAGAAGAATCACTTACAGTTCCCTACAGTGAAGAACCTTTTTAAAGGTCATGGAACATCTACATAATTAAACCTCTAATTAGAGGTTAAAGGTTTGGCCTAGAACTGTATGTCCAAGCCAAGAACCATGCCTATGTCTTTATTTTCAAGCGTGTATAAGCAGGCATGCCGTATACATGAACACTGAACATAAAAGGCACTGCAGAGTCATGGAATTTGGCCAAGACTGGGATCACCTTGGACAATGTGACATGCCATAAACTTGTAAGATAACTTTTATTTCACTGTTGCTTGACTGGGATGCCCCTGTGGTCCACTGCTGTCATTTGGGGTTTATTATGATGTTTCAAAACAATCAATAATATCTTGTGGTTTTGTTGCAGGGCAGAAAGGGAGGACATCCCTACAGGAGCATCCTGAAAGGAGCAGATGACCACACATGACAACTGGCGTACTAATACTTCTCACCACTGTACCATCCCAAAGGCAAGGGCTGTTTGGTTACAGCGTACACCCTGGTACACCCTGCTCTTCTGAGCACTTCATAAGCAGCTTATGAACACAGCTAGCATCAAACACAGCATCATCTGGACACCTGAATCCAGCTAGTCATGCATCAGCGAGTCTCGTACGCCTCATACATACAAACCAGGCCAATCCGTCCAACCGAGAGAGAGAGGATCTGGCATTGCAGCCTGCCTCTATCATACAGAGTGAGAGAGCTAGCGAGCTTGTGATGGTTGAGAGCTCCTCCTCCAAACAGACGTGCAGAGCTAATTAATCTCTGCTTTGACTTTCTACACTCGGATAGCTGGAGACGCACGCAGAGCCTGTCCGCTGGTGACTGACAAAGCATGTACCGCCCATTGATTACCAGCAGCTGAAGCAGATCAGTATCACCCTCCGCCAAAGGCTGATTGCGGTCGAACTCTGTAAAGACAGAGACTGGGAGAGATCTACAAAGCTAAAGAGCTCGAGATTGATAGTGTCAATATGAGGAACCCAAGCCCCTTACAGTTTTGCTGTAAAACTGAACAGAGAGGGATTCTATAAACCAGAACGCTGAGGAACGTTCTGCGTATGTTGTAATTCAAACTATGGAAAAGAAGCTACAGCTTTTTTCACATTTGAGCTGATTTTAGAAAAATATGTTGACCATTGCTAGAGCGCCAACAAATTATACTGCCCGTGAAAAAGCCAGAAATTCAAAAAATAGTGAAGAGCACCACTAGTAGCCTATTAATGAAAGTAATGTTCTGTTTTGTTTGAGGGTTGTCCCATTTCATAGTGGAAGATTTCAACCACTACACCTTGTAACTCAGTTCCAAGGGGCAAGGACACACTCGAAAACAGGGGGTACGGGTAAAAATAAGAAATGGGACTGGGCCTAAGTGTGTACCACTACTGCCTCCTGAAGCCTTTCTGAGTTACTCAAGCACTGCTACAGTTTTGCTGGAGAACTGAGCAGAGAGCCAAAATTCTGCATGTGTGCATTTTCTTTCCCTACTTGGCAAACGGCATAAATTGTAAATGTCTGTAAATATCAAGAAGGCTATAGTTTCTTTCCCATTTCAGCTGATTCCAGAAAATATGGTGACATTCACTAGAGTCCCAATAAATTACACTGGCAGTCAAAAAAGATTACTCAAGAGTTTTTTGTAATGATCAGCGATGCCTCAAAAAATGAATACAAATGTAGGAAATGGAGAAGCAAAGCTGCACTAGCAGTTCACACTGCCTTGTGACCAAGACGGGACCGGAAGATTGGCTGTGAAGGAAATTCTCTAAATTGGTGCAGAAAGCATGCTAGCTAACAAGTTAGCCAAATATAAACAGTAACAAGGGCACACAGTGGACGTATCTGTGAAGTGAAGGCTGCAGCTGAGGTAGAAGAGATCTTATCTGGTATACAAAGGCTCCTCTTCAGTGCTCACTCACGCTCGCATTCGAGACGGCCTGAGCAGGATGTACAGACACGTCACCGCTTACTGACGTAAACTATGCCACTCATTCAGTTCTTATATTTAATAACGCTAAATTAAAGTTTGCATTTAATTACAAACTCTGGCGCTGTGGCATCTCACCACTTGTCATTTTTCAGATGTTTTTGTGCTGTGCATGAATGACTGAGGGTGACTGAAGGTCTGTGCGTCCTTCAGTTTCTCAGAAATGATGAGTGCACTTCTCAGCCACACTCGAAGAATCCTACAAAACGGGACAGCCGTCAGTGATGCAAGAGCTGAGAAATGCAGTCTTCTTCAGTTGCATGTGGCAAAGCACCGCTCTTACGAAGAACCAAAAGCTAACTGAGTGCTAATAGTGCCCCCTTGTGGAGAATCTTGTGCCTGCTGAGTGAGTGAGTGAGTTGGAAATCTTAAACACAAAACAACACAAGAAAAAAAAAAGAGAAAGTAAAGAGAGTTACATCATCTAGTCCAGCCTCCTGACTGATTGCATATCCTGTTTTACTTACTAATTTACAATACGGGAATAAACATATAAATGGTCCACCTTAGGCTAAAATGACCACAATCTCTTTATGCTGCAATACGAAGGACTGACCACTTCAGAGATCACCGCAGGCCAAGTTTTTGTGCTATTGGCAGGCGCAAATTTCTAAGTCAGATTACACCAGAGTTAAACTTGTAGCAAAGTTTCAATTTATTCACTCTGGTTTCTGTGGTTTCTGACAGGCAATGAACATAATTTCACCCAAGAAATTTTACTGAGAAAAAGCTAACATGTTGCCCTTATTCTGTTCTTGCCCTTAGTCCTTTTCCCAGCCTTAATGATTCTCTCCACACTGCTTTGTTATATTTTCAGAAAGTAATTTCATTGCAGTCGAAAGGAGCTGCTTCACACGCACCCCACAGTCATGTTGTGCTAACCCAGCTTTGTGACATATGTGCTTCTGACCAATTCGTTTTGACTGCCAGTACACGAGAGTGCCAGTTTGACCACAGCTGTACTTTTCTCTATTTTTCTGCTTTTTCTGTAAACAATGTTGCAATGGCTAAAGGGGACTGAGGTGGACTGCAGTGACCCCCAGGAGACACAGTCTCTCTAGTAAGAGTGTGTACAGTCACTGCTGGAGCTACTCATTGGGGTCATGCAGAGTGTATTTCCACAAGGACATACCAGGAATTGTGAGCTTTTGTCTGAACTCATTAGGATCTAGATGACTCCGGGACATATGGGGAGTTGCAGTCATCCACCTTTGCAAAGCAAACAAACAAAAAACTGTCCTTCCTTCTTTTTTTTTTAGCCAAACAGGATAGAATGAGCTTTGCCAAGTGGCCAATCTTAACACTGTATATTATGC